TTAAAATTTAAAATTATTGGTAAGAACAAATTTAACTCTAATTAGTGTATTTTTACGGTATTTGATCGTATTGGTGGTGACACCGGGAACCGGACGTCATCCTCCCAACGCAAACAAGCGTTTTGCACGAAAATTGCAAAAGAGAAAAGGACAAAAACATACATCGAGAAAAACGAAAGAGAAAATGAAATGAAGAAATGCAAAAACACTCTTCGGTTCTTCACTTCTTCTCCCTCCTCTCCCTGTCCCGATTTCTGATTCCAGATTTTTAACCATTTTTAATCTTCTTACTTCTGCACATGCAATTCTGCTTAATTTGTCCTCCCTTTCCATAGGTTTCTTTCCCCTGAACAAGGTCTTTGTCAAAATTCCGAACTTGGTTTCAGTCCATGTATGATGTAATGTCAGCATTTCCCTTTCTTTCCAACAAATTTCTGACTGTTTCTCTTCGTTATTCTCGGTGTTTTTTTTTTGAGGTTCCAGATCAAAGTCTGATTTTTTTTCATTGGGTTTTCGTTTTTCCGGTTTTCCCTTCTCTTGATCTGTTGTACCTGTTACCGATGATTTTCCGGCGAGTTTAGATTCCAAGATGTGTAATTTAAGTACCCATTTAAGAAATTACTTGAATTCTACTGTTTAATTTAAAATATCATCAGGTTCATGTAAGTTTAGCTTCTGGATTCATGTTTTTTCTTTGAACTTTTGCACCATAACCTAGGGTTTTATTTCTCCAGCATTTACTGTTTCCAAGGCAGATCGAATATGGATTACACTCGAGAGAATGTGGTTCATGTAATCCAACCAAATGGACCAGAGAATTGGGTTCCGAATGCCGCTGACTCCTCTGTTTGGGCAACGGAAGAGGACTACCGCGTTTGGAACAACCACGAGGCCTCCTGCGATACTCCCTCAAACTCCAACTACGACCAGCGCCAATCGCGGTCAAACAGCGAGCAGCAGCAGAACAAGAAACTCAGAAACTCTCAGGAAGTGAATTCCCGGTCAAAAGCCATAGGGAAGATGTTTTTCAAGACTAAGCTGTGCTGCAAGTTCAGGGCTGGTACCTGCCCGTATATTTCCAACTGCAACTTTGCTCACAGCATGGAAGAGCTTCGACGCCCGCCTCCAAATTGGCAAGATATAGTTGCTACCCATGAGGATGACAAAGGCATATTATCAGAGCCGAGAGAGGAGTTTCAAATTCCTTCCGTGGGTTCTTCAGGATTTGGAGTTGATACGCAGAGGTCCTTCAAATGGAGGCATTGCAAAAAGTTCTATACCGAGGAGGGTTGCCCGTATGGTGAAAATTGCACTTTCTTGCACGATGAGCAGTCAAAGAATAGGGAGAGTGTCGCAATAAGCTTGGGGCCTGGAGGGTATAGTGGTGGAGGTGGGAATGGAACAAATTCCAAACCTTCGAACTGGAAGACTAGGATTTGTAATAAGTGGGAGGTTACTGGTTACTGCCCATTTGGGAGTAAGTGTCATTTTGCTCATGGGAATGCAGGTATGGCTTATAGATCGATTATTGATTTTACTTGTTCCATACTTCCATTCTTTTCCTTTGGTTTAGTTAAATGGAGGGCATATATGATTGGCACTTATTTGTGTAGCTTTTATCTTCACTAACAAGACCTGAATTTGCAAGAATTTATCATGTTGAAAGATTGTCATAACAAAAAAAGAAAAAATGAAGAAACTCTATGCATAGATAGAATGAAGTTTTTCACTGCCCGTTTATACCATAACAAGCACGGCAATGGGAGGCTTTCTGCCTGTTAAGGCTTTTTTGGTCTACTTTATACGTTAGAAACTTAGACTGATGCTTTATTGGAAGTTTTCTTATGTTGCCAGACTTTCTATTTGAGGACTTTGGCTTCTGTTTTAAACTTTTAATCGTGAGAATTAGCCTGGTCCTTTTATTGGTAGGTGTTTCTAGAACCATAAGTGGGACGTTTGGTGCTTTTCAGCATGAATGAGTCTTCACCCAAAAAAAAAAAAAAGAGAGAAAGGAATGAAAGTGTATCCATCTTTGACTGCTTTTAAAAAGTGTGGTAGCATTGTGTCTTAAATTAGCATTAAGACTTGCTTACTTTCTATTTTTTGGGCAATTCATGTAATGTAAGCATCTTTGTTGGTCAAAAGAACGAAAAATGGAATGTAAGGATCCAGAATCTCTGAACAATCACCACCTGCAATGCCGATCTCTATGATGCGTGTGCATCTTGAAACTGAATATTTGCTTCATGATTCTAAAGGGGGCTTGAGAAGTTTTGTTTTTTCCTGTGGATAAGAAATTGACGAAACTAGACTTCTCAAGAAAGTTCATCTTCTTGAAGAATATATCACTATTCTTATCATGGTAATTGCCCAGATTTCTGCTACAAGGAGGTTGTTAGCAATGGTTCTTTATGAACAGCCATGTGTGCTTTTGGTTCTTGTTTATGGAATCTTGTGTTTGGAGCATTCACTAAGCACTTTTGTTGTCCACTGACCACTATGGCCTCATCAATAAGTAATGCAAGTCTAGGAATACATCATGTTGGAATATTTAATTGGGTGTCTTAGTTGTTCTATAGTTGGAATGCTTTTTTCACATCAGATTCTTCTTAAGCTAACCTATGTCATTACCATTGTTTTTGGCCAGGAACTTATGCTCATAGTCTCTCACCGTACTAGCATGTATTTGTCAAGTAATGTTAATAATCCTATTATCCATATTATTTTACATTGCAACTTATACCAACATTGATATAACCATTGTATTTAACATATGCCAACTTTAAAGGGTTTCTCCATAAAGAGTTAGTCCCCTAACTGGTCATGCAAACTGCTTCCCTGTTGTAGCATGTTGTCATACTTGCTGGAAATTAATGTCACATTGGGTTCTTTTACATTTTCCATTTACATTATATTACCATGGTAATGTTTTTTTCCCCTTTCCTATCTGATATCCAGAATTACACCGGTATGGTGGAGGCCTTGTGGAGGGAGAAGCTAGAGATTCTTCTTCTTCTGCTGCTGCTGCTACTCCTGATTCAAAGCAAGGGGTAGTGCCTTCAAAACCCCAGTCAGATCCTGTGACTGTGCCAGTTCCTTCAGTTTCACATACTGAAACCTATCATATTGGGGTATCCTCACAGAGGACATCTATTGTAATCCAGAAGCCAGGGCAAAGAACTCTTCAGAAATGGAAGGGACCAGACAAAATCAGTAGGATATATGGTGACTGGCTTGATGATATTGAATAGAATGATGTGCTACAAATGCTGGAAAAGATATTGAGCTCAAATTACTTGCAAGTTTTCCATGAGAAGATGAATGATTTAGACATTCTTAGTAAAAAGGGATCACCTAGATTCTGATCTTAAGCTGGAGAGCCATTTTTTAGCTCCCTCCCAAGTTTTTGGCGGATCCCTTTCTTGGTGTAACTCCTGCTCAGATGCGGGAATGTAATGCTTGTAGTCATTATCCTTGTAATCAAATTTTCTTGCTAGATAAACCCTTTTAATCTTAATAGACAGCTGCTTACGTTTTGTACAACTGTTGTCCTAAGGCTACTATTTGTACTCTTAATCCTTCCCATGCCGTTAAATCTCCTTTTTAATTAAGGTCCTGGATATTTACAGCACACATTTCTACGAAGGAACATATTTCCTCGTAAAGAAATCATGCTAATTATGGAACATGGGAACAAAAGATATTCAAGGTAGGACCACGACTAGGAGTGCAACTAACAAAAATACCAGTGTATAAACTAATTAAAAACGAGATTATTTAACAAAAAATTGAAGTGCACTTTGTACCATACACACTACACTTCTTATAATTTCTTATAATTATAAATATTAGAGGTTTATTTCTCCATTAATAATTAAAAGTAATGCAATTCATATTATATTTTTTATAATTATTAATAGAGTAATGGAGTCCTTAATATTAGAGACTCACTTCTCTATTAATAATTAAAAATAATGCAATTCACGTAGGCATTAATAATTAAAAATAATGTAATTTATGTAAGAT